ATCATTTTCCTACCCCGTGCCTCAGTTTACCTATCTGTAAATGAGACATTTGAACTTGGTTAATCCTTCCGACATAGGCTATGGCTAAAGGTCACCTGGACCACTTCAAAAACAGGAACTTTGAGGTATCATCTCCAAAGATTCTGAGCCATTCTGTTGGAGTGGGTTAAGGCATATCTTATTAATAATTACCCAGGGAATCTTGATATTATAGGCAAATCTGGGTCCAATGCACTGGACAGTTTCTGGGATTTCTGGCCACCTCATTGTTGTCTTCTGCCTGGTTCTTGTTTCCTAACTTGGAACCACTCTTATTCTGACATACCCATGGCATGAGTAGGTCCTGACTTGTCACAGAGTAGTTAGTTGCACAACCTAAGATAAATCACTTTGTTTCTATAATTCTTTCTCTCATTTGCAAAGGGGAAGGGTTACATAAATTAATTGCAAATGTCTCTCTCAACACATTCTCTTATTTTGTGACAATTGAGGACACTTTGGACAGAGCTGGGGGAAAAAAAAAGGAATGTACGTCCTGATTGCCAACTGTGTGAGCATGGCCTTTGAGAACCACACAAGAATCCAGATCCGTTTCCACAGCTGGGTATTTCCAATTCCCATTTCCCGCCTTCCATTCACAGACAGTGTTTCGCCCTGAGCTCCCCTTCACAGCCCGTGAACCGTAGGTGAGTTGTCCAAACGGCTTTGGGAAACTGCTCATTGGGAAGAAAGAACCAAGTTGACCAGACGGAGGCAGGGCAACCACTTCCCTAAACAACATGGCTGGGCTTCTAGACAGAGCAGTCGCTGAGTTGGCAGTTTCGTTTTAATTTTTTGTGTTGGGATTTCTTGAACTCAGTTTAAAAAAAGAAAAATAGAGGGATTTTTTTTTTTTTTTTTCGTAATCGAAGTGATTCAGCAACTGAGGTCTCTGAGCTCCCTCTAGAACCTTTGATGGGGAAGCACCCGGACCGGACCCCAGCCCCGCAGAGGCCCTGTGGTGTTCACTCTGCGGGGCCCTGGCAGGACCCCAAGACCTCTGTTCTCTTCCGTTTTTGAGACACGCTGTCTTTCTTCATCCACAACAGGGACGTCCCCAGGGGTCTCTCCCTACCGCATACCTCAGGGCTCCTTCTTGATGTCACATCGCCAAGGAAGCCACTACCTCTGGGTTAGCTTTCCCTTTTAATAAGACAAATATCTTCTTGGCAACTGTCAAATATTTTTAAGTGTAACAAATTTCATGTCTTAGTAAAGCTGCAAAATTTCCAGCAATGTGATTATTCCATAATTTGATTAAGAGCCTTAATGATATCTACACATTTTGATTTGTTAATCTCTTTGCTATGGAATTGGATGGAGACATTAATAATAGTGTTTAATTGGATTTTTAATGGACATCTGTAGACTACTTCACCCAATAACAACAATAAAAACAAATACTTTTGGATCATACAGTAGCTTAAAATTTTTAAAAGAAGAATTATACATTGTGCATTCTCAGACCATGATAGGCTTAAGGTAGAAATCGGTAACAGAAACATCCCTGGGTATGTGGGATACAACATACTTCTAAATAATACATGGTTCAAAGAATAAATTTTGAGAGAAACCTAAAAACATTTTGAACTAAATAAAAATGAGTATACAATTTATTAAAATCTGTGGAGTTCAGCAAAACTATGTTCATGAGATAGTTCTCATGAGAACTATCCTCATGAGGATAGATGCAAAAATCCTCAACAAAATATTAGCACATAGAATCCAGTGATGTATAAAAATAATTATGTGAAACAATTTGAGATCAATTGAAAATCAATTTATATAATCCATCACATCAATGAACTAAAGAAGAAAAAAAATCGTATATCGATATGATGATATCAGTAGAAAACATTTGACAACAATCCAACACCTATTCATAATAAAAAACAAGCAAACAACTTTCAGCAGACTAGGAATAGAGGGTAATTCCTCAACTCAATAAAGAACATCTACAAAAGACCTATACCTCACAACATACTTAATTGTGAGAAAAGTTGTTTTTTCCTGTAAAACGGAATAAAGCAAGGATGTTCTCTCTCACCATGCCTATTCAACACCATACTGCAAGTTATAGCTAATGCACTAAGACAACACAAGGGAATAAAAGATAGACAGGTTGGGAAATAAGAAGTAAAACTGCCTTTGTTTGTAGAAGACATAATTGTCCATGCAGGAAAAAGAATCAACGGAAATACCCCTCAAAAAACAAACAAAAAAACAAAACCCTCCTGTGACTAATAAGTGACTATAGAAAAGTTTCAGGATACAAAGTTACTATATAAAATTTAATTACTTTTTACACACCAACAACAAACAATTACAAATTGAAATTAATAACACAATACAATTTACATTAGCACCAAAATTAAGTACTTAGGAATAAATCTAAGAATATGCACAATATCAATATGAGGAAAACCATGAAACTGGTGAAAGATTAAAGATCTTTCCAACTCAGTTCTTTCCAACTCAATCTATAAATTCAACACAATCCCAATAAAAATCTCACCAAGTTATTTTGTGAACATTAACAAACTGAATCTAAGATTTACATGGAAAGGGAATGACCCAGAATAACTATCATAATACCAAAGAACAAAATCAGAGGGCTAACACTACCCAACCTCAATATTTAATGTAAAGCTACACTCATCGGTCCTGCCCGGTGTGGCTCAGTTGGTTGGTGTAACGTCCCGGAAGCCGAAAGGCAAGATGTTTGTTTCTGGTCAGGACATAGGCCTAGGTTGGGGCAACTGATCAATGTTTCTGTCTCACATTGATGTTTCTCCCCCTCTCTCTCTTTTCCCCTCTCTCTAAAATCACTAAGCATGTCCTCAGGTGGGAATTAAAAGAAAAAAGAAAACTACACTAATCCAAACAATATGGCATTGGTGAAAAAACAAAGAAAGATCAAGAAAACAGAATAGAGAACCCAGAAATAGACCCTGCAAATCTAGTTAACTGATTTTTGGGGAAAAAAAGCAAAGATTATTTAATAAAGAATAGCCTTTTCAACAAATGGTTCTGGAACAACTGCACAAACACATCCCACCCCCCGCCCAAAAACAACGAATCTACATACAGACCTTACATCTTTCACAGAAATTAACTCAAAATGAACCATAGACCTAAATAAAAAATTCAAAACCATAAAATTTCTAGAAAATAACAAAGGAAAACCTAGGTGACTGTGAGTTTGGTGATGACTTCGTAGATACACCTCCAAAAGCATAGTCCATGAAAGAAATAATTGATAGGTTGGACTTCATTAAAGTGAAAACTTTGTACTTTGAAAGACACTATTAAGAGAATGAGAGGATAAGCCATAGACATGGAGAAAATCTTTGTAAAACATAAAGCTGTTAAAGGACTTGTGTCCAAAATATACAAAGAACTCTTTAAAGTCAAGAACAAGAAAACAAACAACCCAACTTAAAAAATAGGTGAAAGATCTCACCAAAGAAAACTCACCAAAGAAGATATGCAGATGGAACATAAGCATATAAAAAGATGTTCAACATCATATGTCATCAGGGAATTGCAAATTAAAATCTCTGAGGCACCACTACACATATATTAGAGTGGCTAAACTCCAAAAACCTGAGAGTAACAAATGCTGGTTAAGGATGCGAAACAACAGGAACTCTCATTCATAGCTAGGGGAATGCAAAATGATACAGTCACTTTGGAAGACAATTTGGCAGCTTCCTACAAAGAGCTGAACAGAGTCCTGCCATATCACACTCCTTTTTTTCACATCCAGCAATCACACTCCTATTACCCAAAGGGGTGGAAAACTTAGGCCCGCACAAAAGCACGTAAGTGTTTAGAGCAGCATTAGTCGTAATTGCCCCCAAACTGGAAGCAACCCAAACGTTACTCAATAGATGAATGAATCAGCAAACTGTGGTTTGTAACACATAGTGAAATATTATTCAGCAGTAAAAAGAATGAGCTATCAAACCATGAAAAGACATGGAGGAAACCTGAACGCCCGTCTCTTGTTGGAAGGAACCAGTCTGAAAATGCTACCTGCCGCATTCCATACTGCAGTGTGATTCCACCTGCAAGGCAAGCCTCCAGGGACAAGTGAAAAGATTAATAGTAGCTCAAGGATTGGTGGGGAGAGAAGAAAGGATGAATGGGTGGAACACGGGGAGTTTTTAGGGCCGTAAAATGCCACTCTGCACGATACTGTAGTGCCAGGATGTGATGGGGGAGGGGTGGACAAGGTCAGTGGTCTGCAAACCTAGTTTCTCCCCTTTGCACACCCACCTGCTGTCCTGCTGGGTGTGACCTGTTCTGCCTGAGCCTGCAAAAATAACGAGTTTCTCCATAGGATTTCACTTGGAAAGAAACTCTAGTGTTTTGAATGAAATATTTGGAAACAACCACCCATATGTCCAGCTCCTATGCTCTATGGCCTAAGACTCCAGAGCACTAAGACTCGAGATTCCTGACTCTATGGCCCTGCCCAGGCCCCGTCTAAGCCACCTGAGTGGGCTTGCAAGGAGCCAGACTAGTCCGGGATGTCAGGGACCAGAGCCTGACAGAATATAGGCAACGCCTAGGGCTCCGGGGCCCTGGGAAGGGTCAAACCCTAGATTCTCTTCATTCCACTATGACATCAGTTTCCATTCTCCTTTTCTAACAGATCACTTTTCATTTCAAAGAAGGGACAGCCCTTCATAGGCCAATGAGAACACTTTCTACCTTGGCTGGGCACAGCCACTTCCCCTTTCCACCTCTGCTCCGCAGAGGATGAGCCAACAACAGAAACTCCAAGGCTTCCTCGTCTCAGTGTTCAGAAATCATCCCCCAAATCCGGTGCCTACTCAGCACATTCGGGGTCTTACTTCATCCCTCCTTGGTCATGACGCTGCCCAGGCACCCGATAAAAGGTTGACAGCATGGCCAGAGCAGCCAGAGGGGCAGAGAGGCTGAGGCCAGTCCAGAAACCTCCCGCGCTCAGGCTGAAGCGCCCATCCGCACCCTCCAGCATGAAGGTCTCCGCAGCCCTGCTGTGCCTGCTGCTCGCAGTGGCCGCCCTCAGCACCCAGGTGCTCGCTCAGCCAGGTGAGGCCCTTCTCTTCCTCGGGCTTAACATTTTAACGGCTGCGGGTACTGACGTACCGGCGTGAGTCGTGCCATGCGTGTTCCGCAGCCTGGGAGGGAGAGAGTGAGGCCAGGAGGGGAAAGGAGCAGAGCCATCATGTTCCCGCTAGTCGGAGGCAGGGCCCGAACTGGACGCCCAGGCCACAGAGGCCGGTCCCTACGACCTTTCCCGATACCAGCTTTGGGACACTAAATGCAGCCATGACTTCAAATGACCCTCCCACTGTTTGGGGATGCGGCACAGAAAAAAAAGGACCATTTCTTACTGTGGATGGGAAAGACATTTCGGGAAGTAGTGGGGAGGAAGGAACGGCCGCTTGAGGTTTCGTGTTTTGGATGACGGCCAGTGGGGGCTGCAGAACAGCGGCTGTGTCCAAAGGCGTCCCAGCAGGTGACAAGGGTTGGCTCCAAAGTCAAAGGGACAAAAGGCTGGGAAGCAAGGTCTTAGAACTAATCTTTCCAAGGTCGCAGGCACTGGATCAGCAGCCCCTTCTGAAAACCCTCCAGGATTAGCTTTGTTACTCAAGGTCGCCCCCTCCCAGTCAGTAATCACAGGCTCCATGGCCCAACAGAAGGAAGTGACTCACGGGTCCCACGTTCTATCTCTGGGAGCCAGACCAAGGCCCGGAACTTGGGGGTGGGGGGTCCTAGTTAAAACTCATGTGTCTGCTTTGCCTTCCCCCTCCTTCTCCTCCTTCCCATACAAATGCATGCTTCCGGCACATCCTAACCACCTCGTTCTTCACAAAATGTTTTTCAGATTCCGTTTCCAGCCCAGTCACTTGCTGCTTTACTGTGTACAAAAAGAAGATCCGCTGGCAGAATCTGAAGAGCTACACGAGAGTCACCAACACCCAGTGTCCCCAGGAAGCTGTGATGTGAGTGGACGATGTCCCGACACCTTGAGCCAAGAGTTCTGTCTGAGCTGCAGACAAGGGGGAGAGATCAGGGTTCACGTCCAAATGAGTCAGATAAATACACCATCTAATCAAAAGGGCCCCTCACCCCACAGAGAGAATGAGCCCACAAGAAGGAATCCACACCCCCTCCAGGCTTCCCCTCCAGGAGCTTGGTCAGGTCACCCAAGTTCCTTCAGCCAGGAGCCTGGAGGGCTTCCCCAGGGACAGCAAGAGCAAGGTTCCTTTAGGACGTGTTCTCTGGTGCCCTCCTTTCCTCTCGTTCCAATCAGGGCCCCTCACCCAGCAAGTGAGGGCTGATCAGGTGTGGGAGCCGATGGGTCACACTCAAGGGCCAAATCCTCTAAATGCTCCATCTAATTGTGTCCACAGCTTCAAGAACAAAAAGGACAAGGAGATCTGTGCCGACCCCGAGGACAGGTGGGTCCAAGATGCCATGAACCAACTGAACAAGATGTCCCAAGCTCGGAAGCCTTGAGCCGTCCCGCCTGTGTTGAGAGACACGCAGAACCCAAGGACAATCTTATTTATTTCCCCTCAACCTTCCCTGGGTGCAGAGTGACATTATTTTATTACAATGTACAAAGTAGCCCTTTGGTTAGTAACTTAAAGCACAACGTTTCTTAAGTAATGTTTAATTATATTTAAGTTATTGATGTCTTGACTTTATCTGTCATAAACTCTTAACGAATGCCAAGTCTGGTGATGTGTTTCCTTCTCTGTGAGCTCAGGAAAACTCATGGCGAGATGTAAGTGTCTTCCTGCTTGTTTTGTGAAATCCTTCGGGGGTCGTCAGAGTGATACTCTTCCGTATTTTGAGAAAAATCAGTGCTTTTGCAAATGTAGGCTGTGCAATGTTGTTGCTGAAATTAATGTTATTAGAAAACTATGGAATTTTCAAATAAAAATACATGTAATTTTAAACTACTCGGTCTTATTCTTCCTAGGATAACATTTAGCTGGGAGGGAGAAAATGGCAGCACGGGTGGCAATTTGGGGTGTAGGGACCACCCTCTAGGAAGTCTTTTGGACTCAACTGAGTGAGAATCAGGGAGAACCTAGCAAGACGAGATCAAACTGTTTCGGCCCTTTGACACTAGTCCCTAACTTCCCCGGTCCTTATTCCATGGAGTCTGGATTCTTGTATCCTTTCTCACCATGCCTACCTTTGCCAGTGTCTCTCTCAATGTCTTGCAACAGTCTTCAAACTTACCTGTGTAACCCCAGGCTTCCACCATCTAATGAATCCACTCCAGCCCAGGGCGCTGGTCCAGAGTTGAAATGCAACCTAGGAGGAAAGCTGATGTTTTTACCCAGAGCTCTACTTTGAGCTTTCCACTGGAGAGGGGTCTTCAGCAGGCCAGGTGGTGGGGAGTGGGAAGGGCTCTTCAGTCCTGGTACCAGAAGGTGGGGGGGCCGTGAAGGGGCGGCGTGTGAGCCAGAACACAGAATCCCATCTGACACAGCTCTGGAAAGACAGCGGGGTCTGGAGTTTCACTAGTAAAGGTCGGCTCCGGACCTTGGGGCCCTGGGATTTCAGGCGGGAAGTCAGCGGGAGCAAGGGAAGCCCTGAACGTTAGGAAGCAGGCGAGAAGGGCCACCTGCGGAGGCCGGCCTCGGGAGGAAGACCTGGGGTCTGAAGAGGGGAGTGTGTGAAGGGAAGCCCCGAGGGGTCGGTGCAGAGAGGATGGGGATGTGAAGGCAGCGGACGGTGGCGGAGGGTGAAGTTGGGAGGGATGGGCCGGACAGAGTGATATGCCGAATGCTGCAGGAGGGCTGACCAGGGACTTAGGCCCTTATCCTACAATCTTGCAAAGCAACTGTGCATTTAGAGGGCTGGTACCTTAGAGACACAAAGTGGATTTACCTCCATCACTATACCCCTCACCCTGACCCCGGGAACTTGCAAACCTCCACTTGAAGGTATGGGACCGCCTTTGCTTAACCGCCTCTTAGGATCAAAATTCCCTTGTGCTTCGCGAGCACAGCTGGCTCCTTCCCCAGGCAGAGGCCCTCCTCACGGAGGCCCAGGGGCCAGGCCCCTCTCTGAGGGGAAGGGGGCTGTTGCCCTCCTGGCCCAGCTCCTCGGGGCCCGTGTCCTTGGTGACGGCGTGGGGACGCCACCACGGCAGTGCACCTGGAAGCCTGGCCAGGCTGGAGCCTCGGCTTCTGATCCCAGCGCTGACCCTGACTCCCTGGGCCACGTAGGGCAAGTCACGTTCTCTCTCCAGTCTTCAGACACCCCATACAAAAGTGGAACGAGCACTGTGTCACAGGCAAGTAAAGAGGGGGTCTGGCAGATGACCTCACAAGCCCCCTCCAGCTTTAGAGGTCACGGCTTTTGGAGAGCTGGTACTGTCTGTTGGCTAGGGTGGGGTGCGGGTGTAAAGTGCCTAGAATTAAAATGGTTAAGCCAGGGGGGTGCCTTGCCGATGGGCAACCACCTCTACGTGCGATGTATCACCTGTCTAGAGATAAGCTTTCTTTTCTTTGCTTTTCTAGCTAAAGAAATACCACAGTTCACAGAAGACTGTAAATATTTTTGTTATAAGTTGAGACTACACGTCTTCCAGAAAACAAAAGCCACAGCAGGAGCGTGCATTGACGCTTTGGGGGTGCTACGCTGCCTGAGCTGGAAATGGGTAAGGCGGGGGGAGGGGGGGTGGGGGAGAGGATAAGCTTTCCGTTAAAGTCCAAGGCTGCGCCTCCAAACCGCAGGAACGATAAGGCAGCTAAGCATCAGCCAGGTAAGAGGTGTGCTTTGCAGCCACGAAGATTCCGTGTGATTCTAACCTGGGTCTTCCACAGTCTCCAGGCCAAGCTGGTTATGGAGCTCTGGGCCCAGGGTCTCATGAAGTCCCTGAACCACAAATCCCAAAGTCCAATGGCACGAAGGCTCCCCCTGAACCGACAGCAGGCCACAGTGCAAGACACGGTCCTGCTGTTTCCTGAGAGTGCTGCCTGGCTGCTGTGCGCTCGGGTTATGCCATTACATTTCACATCAGAATGACCTCAGGGACACTAAACATGTCGTTGCAAGTGATACAGCATCTTACTTAAGTTACTGATGTTTTGTGCACCCTAACTTCAATATTTGTGTTTTGGAAACCCACATTTTTTGCTGGTTCATATCTGAGAGCTCCAAGTCGTCCCTCGTCACCGCAGGGGGCGATGAACTGGGGAGTTTATTGGGATTGACCACACCCTCTTGGGCTCACTTCTGATCTCACCCTCTGCCGAGGCTGACGGTCTGTTGCAGGCTGTAACTCCTACTGCGCTCTCAATATCTGCTCTCAGCGTTTCCTCGGTCTTGGTTTTGGCTCAGGCTGCTCTGTGGGTGCCACTTCCGATCATAGCAATGCTTCTCTGGTCATAGCAATGCGTTTAGGACGTGACATAAGGGAAATGCAATCGGCTAAAACCTGAAAAACTACTACCTACCGAAGCGGCTTAAAGGGAAAGACGGATAAAACTAAGTGTTGGTGGGAATGCAGCGCAAAGGAAGCTGTGATACGTTGCTCGGTGAGAAGTTTGGGAAAGTGTTCAGCAGTTTCTAATAAAATTAAACACAAGCATGTTCTATAACTCAGAAAGTCCACTTCTAAGTAAATATTTACAACAAGTGAATTTGTACAAACACAAGAAGTTTGAACAAGAGTATTTATAATTGTATTCATGATGGCCCCAATCTGGAAACATTGCATTATCCATTAAGAGGAAAAGAGACAAACAGACTGTAGTGTGTTTATACTTAGCAATCAAAAGAACAAAACATTGATTTAGTTTTTTTTTTAAAGCATTAGACATAGGACTTCAGACTCCTCCCCAATGCATATGAATGCATGTCACATGATTCCTTTTATAAGCATTTCAAGAATGGGTAATCAATTTTGACAGAAGTCCAAATGGTGATTACCTCTAGGAGATGAAACATGAACTTGAAAAAGATACAAAGGAACTTCAGGGATGATGGAAATGTCAGTCTTGATGTGAGTGGCGGTAACAGAGATTACAAGGTAATCAAGCTACGTCTGTAAGATTTGTGAATTTTATTACATGTAAAATATACAAATATGTTAAAATAAATTTGTTTTAATAGCCTGGAACTGCTTATACTACTGATCCAGCAACTCATTTTCCATGTGCGTGATGTAAATAGTGATGCTGGTAAGGATTTATTATACACACAGCAGCCTTACCTGGAATCCCAGGATAATTTAGACTAAATGCCTAATAACAAGGTATGGTCTAGATATCTATACAACCATTAAGAAATTAAGCTGTTGAAGACTATAGAATGACTTTGGCAAGGTTTCTGACATAACTTTAACAAACCAATCTGAGGCCAACCAGTAGCTGGTAAAATTCCTAAAATTTTCACACAGAAAGAAAAAGGGCCAATGATATTTTTTCTACGATTATATGTTAATGCTAAATGTGCAAGTGGCTGTATGATAATTTTATGCTTTTTAAGAGATATCTTCCAACTATTCTAAGTCAGCAGATATTTTAAAAAAAACCAAACACATACATAAAAATATTTCTACAGTTTCTACAACAATGCTGCCCCTACTGAAAAACTTCTGGTTTTCTTTTGCTCACAGCTCAGCGTGTACTGAATACAAGATTTTTCATGTCTATTTAGTCATGGGAAGGGGGAAGGGGTAGTCCCAAGAGTTTATCCTGGCAAGTTCCAAAAAAAAAAAAAAAGAAAGAAAGAGAGAGAGACCCAAGCTGGAAACGGTGAGCCCATGAGCGGGAACAAAAGGCACGCAAGATGCGGAGAGCCCAGGGAGCAGGGAGGCTGCACTCCTCAGTTTGCCGGGACAATCCTGGTTTAACCCTGTCTGGTTTGGAAGATAATCATATGCTAATTCTCCCACAGAGGAGGGTACCTACGGCTCCTAAGACCCCCGAACCCCCAGCCAGTGTCCCTGTTTGACTGCATGCTGGTCCAGAGGACGCCCCGAAAGATGGCTCCATTTCCTAGAACGGAAGGAGCAGGGCTTGCCCTGGAAGGCCTTGGCCACCCTCCGCAGAGTGGGCGTTGGTCCTCAAGGAAATTTGAGCAAGCTGGGAAGCTTTCGCTGTCAGGACGGGATTAAAGGCAGGGCTCAAGTGATCCCAGTTTGGGCCAAATGGAAAGGACAATATTGCAGGGGGATGGGATGTTTATGAGCAAAGACACAGAGAGGAGAGAAGGTGGGGGAAGGAAACACTAAGGGGGTCTTACCGTGCTGACAGAGGTGGTGGGCGAACGGTGCCCTGCAGGGAAGCGATGGGAAGCAACACGCTCTTCCTCTGCTTGTCTGAGGGGCAGAGACCGCCAGCTGGTGCTGGCTCCCTCCCCTCGTCCTTAGTGCCCCCAGCAGTTGGATATCCGCTCTGTAAAGTGGAAAAGGCTGCCCTATGCCGATATGCCTTAGGCAGGGGTGTGCGGCCTGCGGCCCGCGGGCTGCATGCTGCCCAGGATGGCTG